TTCATTTCTGATTGTGTTTCTTTGGGTCCTCTCTCTTTTTCTTGGTGAGTCTGCTTAAAGGCTTGTTGATTTTGTTTATCTTTCCAAAGAACCAGCTCCTGGATTCATTGATTCTTAGAATTGTGCTTTTAGTCTTTGTGTCATTTAATTCTGCTCTGATCTTGGTTATTTCCTTCCTTCTACTTGCTCTGGGCTGCCTTTGTTGTTGTTCCTTGAGTTCTTGTAGGCATAAGATTAGGTTGTTTGTTTGAAATGTTTTTGTCTTTTTTTAGGTAGGCCTGTATTCCTATGAACTTCTCTCTCCGGACTGCCTTCCCATAAGTTTTGGGTTGTTGTGAGTTCATTTTCACTTGTTTCCAGAGACTTTTATTTCTTCCCTAATCTCATTCTTGACCCAGTCTTTGTTTAGTAGCATGCGATTCAAACTCCACGATTTTGAGTGTTTGGGTTTTTTTCTTTTGGGGTTGGTTTCTAGTTTCAGGACATTCTGGTGAGGGAAAATGCTTGATATGATTTCAGTTTTCTTTAATTTGTTGAGGCTTGTTTTGTGTCCTGTCATGTTGTTTCTCTTCGAAAATGTTCCATGTGCATTTGAAAAGAATGTGTATTTAGCTTCTTTGGTATGAAGGGCTCTAATACATCAGTTAAGTCCATTTCTTCTAGGGCATTGTTCAATTCTGCAATATCTTTGTTGATATTTTGTTTGGAAGATCTGTCCATTTTTGACAGTGGGGTGTTAAAATCCCCAACTATAATTGTGTTGCTATCAATATCTTTCTTGAAGTCCTCCAAGATTTTCTTTATGTATTTGGGTGCTCCTATGTTAGGTGCATATATATTTACGATGTTTATGTCTTCTTGGTGGATTCTTCCCTTGAGTATTATGAAGTGATCTTCTGGTCTCTCTTTATGGCCCTTTTTTTTGAAGTCTATTTTGTCTGCTATGAGTATTGGTACCCCAGCTTTATTTTCCTGTTCATTTGCTTGGAAAATTTGTTTCCAGCCTTTCACTTTTAGTCTGTGTAGGTCTTTTGTCCTGAGGTGGGTTTGTTGTAGGCAGCATATGTGTGGGTTCTTATTTGGCCTTCTATCTTAATTGAGAGCCTTGCTGGGTAAAGTAGCCTTGGTTGCAGGCCTCTGGTTCTCATTACTTGGAATATTTCTTGCCATTCTCTTCTGTCTTGAGCGTTTCCATTGAGAAGTTAGCTGCAAGTCTTATTGGGGCTCCTTTGTATGTTACTTCCTGTTTTTCCCTTGCTGCATTTAAGAGTCTCTCTTTGTCTTGGAATTTTGCCATTTTAATTATGATGTGTCTTGAAGTGGGTCTCTTTGGGTTCCTCTTGATTGGGACTCTCTGTGTTTCCTGGATTTGTGTGACTTTTTCTCTCATCAAATTAGGGACGTTTTCCATTATTACTTTTTCAAATAGGTTTTCTGTCCCTTGCTATTCTCCTTCTCCTTCTGGTATCCCTATTATTCGGATATTATTACGTTTCATATTATCTTCTATTTGTCTTAATCCCTCTTCATTCTTTTTGAGCCTCTTTTCCTTTTCTTGCTCTTTCTGTGTGTTTTTGTCTACCTTATCCTCCAGCTCACTTATCTGATCCTCTGCTTCATTGATTATGTTTTTGATTCCTTCTACTGTGTTCTTCAGTTCATAAATTGTATTCGTCATTTCCTGTTGTCCCTTGTCGGTAGTTTCTGTTTCCTTTTTCATGTTGATATAGTTTGCAGTGAGTTCATTGTAACTTCCCTGTAGTTTCTGGTAATTCTCTGTGAGCTCATTGAGCTTCCTAATAACCATTGCTTTGAACTCAATATCTGATAGTTGAGTTCCCTCTGTTTAATTTAGCATTCTTTCTGAGGCTTCCTTCTTTCCTTTCATTTGGGGATTGTGTTTGTTTTTTTTTTTGTCTTCCCATTATTTGTGAGACTCTTCTTGTTAGCCTCTGCTTCTTAAATTGATCTGTTCTGACTCCTGAGTTTATGGTGTGAACTTCTATGGTGGAAGATCTGTGAGATTCAGTGGTGCAGTCTCCTTGATCTCCTGAGCTTGCTGGTCTTGGGTTGTCATTTATGTTTGCTTTGTGTTTGTCTTTGGGTTTGATTTTTGTTGTGTTTTTCTTTAGTGGGTTCTTTCCTCCAGCTGGTTAACTGAAGGTCACTCCGTCTACCATGTCTTATATTCTGTTGTTCAGGTATGGACAGGTTGTGTTGAAGCTGATTCTTCTGTGTGTACAAGTTTTGAGGCTTCTCTCTCACTCTTGTTCAGTTGTTTGCTCTTGGTCCTGGATTGAGGTTAGTGTGGATTCCACTCCCTCCTTCACCTTCTTCCGTTGTTATCTGTTGGTTGTTCCTTTGTTGGTGGGTTTCCTCTTCTAGCAGGTGGACTGGTGTTCATTACTCCCATCTTGAAAGTCCTCTGGAGTAGCAAGTTCACATTTGTCTCACTGTCTCTGTTGTTAGGATGACCTCTGTTTGGGTCTAACTCTGGTCTTTTCTTGACTCCAGGTTTTATTGTCCTACCTGTGGGAAAAGGATAAAAAAGAAGGGAAGGAAGGGAGAAGGAAAAAAGAAGAAAAAAGAGAGAGAGAAGGAAAGGAAGAAGGAACTTTTTAAAAGAAGGAAGAAAGAAAAAGGAGAAGAAGGAAGGAAAACGGGAAAAACAGATAAAAGGAGAGAAAGGAAGAAGGAATTAGAAAAACTAAAATAAAAAAAGTAAGGGAAAGGGAATAAAAAAAGAAAGGACAGAAAGGAAGAAGGAACTTAAGAAAAAAAAAGCCTTCTGCTGGCTTTTCACAGGTCAGGCCAGTTCTGCTGCTGGTCTTCCTCGCTGTGTCAGGCTGAGGAGGGGTTGTTTTTGCTTTTCTCCCTTCCTGAGCCGCATTCTTTGGTGTTGTCCCGCCTCCAGCCCAGTTCCTCAGTACCCTTCTGCAGCCAGCCCAGGCCTTCCGTCCACCAGCTGTGCTGTCCTTGAGGTGCACCAATTAGGGGAAACTCACACACCACCTTCTTCCTCTTTGCTGTCCTAGATGCTAGGGACTCTTATCACCCCTTTAGGGTAGTTCAGCCCCTCACTGAGTCATGTCTTTCTGGGGACTGCAGCTCCCCTCTGGGGGGCTTTCCACCTTCCTCCGAGAGAGCCAGCCAGTTGGCCCTGCAGGGCTGTGGGTGCAGGGGCCAGGTGGGTGGTGCTCCATCCCTGGTGTCTCAAGTATGAGTATAGGCAGGCAGCTGTGGACCTTGGACCGGGTGTGCACAGTCCTGGTGCTTCTGGAATGGGCTTGGGTGGTTCCGGCCTGGAGTTTTTTATATTTAAATGATTTGTTGTCCTTCTTTTGGTTGTGTGAGGAGGCACAGTGAATCCACCTTCGCCTCCATCGCCCGAAGTCACATACAGTTAACCCTTGAACAATGTAGGGGTTAGAGGTGCCAACCCTCTGGCACAAAGTTATACTTTTGAGTTGCCCAAAACTTAAGTACTAACAGCACACTGTTGCCTGTCAGCCTTACCAATAACATAACCAATAGATTAACACCTATTTTATATGTCAGATGTGTTATATACTCTATTTGTAATAAATAAGATAAAGTATTAAGGAAGTCATAAGGAAGAGAAAATACATTTGCAATATTTAGTGAAAAAAATCCACCCATAAGTGGACCCGTGCAGTTCAAACTGGTGTTGTTCAGAGGTGCGCTGCGCTTCTCAGTGCCATCTCCAGGCAGGTTTGTTCTGGCTGACGTGCCCTTCTCCTGTGCACCGGGCTCTGCAGGGGCTTCTCAGACCCAGAGGGCACCTCAGTGTCTGGCCTCCTGAGTCATTCATGTTTGTATCAGGCCACGTGTGCCTCTACTTAAGGCTTGAACTGACTCACTTTTACACCTGCCTGTAATGTGCCCAGATCCATTTTTAGGCACACCAGCTATGTGATAGCCCTGACCAAAACCGTGGGTAAACTGTGATGACACAGGGATTGAGTGGTCACTGATGGTGGCTAAACTAAGCTGGTTACCATTAAACTCATGGCACCGTCACTAAATGTGCCACCAGGATTCAGCCAGGATGAGTGTGGGGAAGGGACGGGAATTGCCCTCCTAAACTGGACGATTGCCAAAGACCTACTTTCATGGGAGTCTTGTCATTGATAGCCCTTGGGGACAAGAGGGGTTTTTTGTGCCATTTACCTCTTAGTGATTGAAGGGCCGCAGAAGAGAAGAGCTGCAGCACAGAGCTGTGCGGGAGGCCCGGGCTCTGACGAGGGGGTGGCAGGCGGTGCCCTGCGAACCAGCTGCAAGCACTGGGAACCTGGCTAGTGCTGCTGTGGAGCTAAATTAAAAAAAATTCAATTATGTTTTACTTTCCATGTTATTTTGTTTTAGTTTCAGATGTTCAACATAGTGATTAGATAATCAGACTTTACAGAGGAACTAAAATTTTTTTTAAGATTTTATTTTATTTTTTAGAAGGGAAGGGAGGGAGAGAGAGAGGGAGAGAAACATCAGTGTGTGGTTGCCTCATGCGGCCCCCAGTGGGAAACCTGGCCTGCAACCCAGGCTTGTGTCCGGACTGGGAATCAAACCAGTGACCTTTCAGTTCTCAGGCCAGTGCTCAATCCACTGAGCCACAGCAGCCTGAGAAGGAACTACATTTTTTATTTTACTTAATTTCAATTAATTTGTGTGGCCACATGTTGCCAGTGGCTTTCATGATATACCGGTAGTACAGGAAGTAGTTACAGCGTGGCCTTCGGAACTTCGGTTGGGGCCACAGGGTTTGGGAATGTGTGGTCATTCGTGTAAAGGGTTCAGAGCAGTGCCTGGTGAGAGCCGTGTTCTTAGCAGAAGCCGTGTGTCTCGTTAATTTTGGCTTATTATGTTTACTGAGTATGTTGAATAGAACGGTGGTAAAGTTCATGTAGAATATGAACCTCTGTTTTTCAACTTTTATATTTTCTTTCTTTTCTAAACAAAATTACTTTTTTTTTTTGCTTTAGGTTGCTGCAACAACTGGCCACACAGTCGTGTTGGTAGACCAGACAGAGGACATCCTGGCAAAATCCAAAAAGGGAATTGAGGAGAGCCTTAGGAGAATAGCCAAGAAGAAGTTCGCAGAAAACCCCAAGGTAGTTTCCTGTTATCAGCATCCCAAAGACCAGCCCTCCAACCACTTCACGTTCTTGGGAAGGAGAGACACTGGCCTTGGCTTACTTTCTCAATTCGTTTATGTAAAACCCACTTCTCCGTAACTTTAGACCAATATAACATAGTCATTAAACATACAGGGGACACTGGTTAGAAAACAGGAGAAGTAAATAGTCACATTGTTGGGGAGGATTTGAGGCTCTGTGGGTAGTGAACTCATTCTGTCTGCTGAGAGTGTGGGACTGACTGACACCTATTTTGTTCCAAGGATGGATGAAGGAGAAACAGGAGGATGATTTTTGTGCTTGCAAGTTAAAAAGGGGATGATACAATAAAAAGTTCACTTAGGTGGAGTCTTGATTGCTCAGGTAAGGGCTTCCACCCGCAGTGTATGTGCCGATGGGAAGGGCAGCCCGGAGTGAGTCCTGTCACCGCCAGCAGCAGCAGAGCTGCCGGAGCCCACGGAGCTCCCAGGAGTGCAGGAACTTGGGTTTACTGACTTTTCACTGGACCTTCACAAGCAATTAGAAGTACTGCAGAAGTCACCCCAGTGAACTTTTGTTTGCCTCTGTCAACTTGTGAAAGTTGCTTAAGATTGATTGCCTTGTGGCTTGAGTGGAAATCCTCTCCGGGCCGAGAAGAGTGCGGGTAGGGTTTTCATCCGAGGTGTCTGCAGGGATGTGTCCAGTTACCTTCATAAACTTTTTATTGTAAAATATATATAAATGGTAAAATTTGCCATTTTAATCATTTTAACTTGGTGACTTTGACCACATTCACACTGTTGTACAACTACCACTGCCACTTCCAAAACCTTTTCATCATTCCAAATAAAAACTGCGCCCATTAAACAATAGCCCCCATTCCCTCCTCTAATTTGTATTCACCTCTAATTTTTCTGTCTCTCTGACTTTGCCTATTCTAGGGACCTCATATATGTGAAATTGTACAATATTTGTTCTTTTTTGACGGATTTCTTTCATTTGGTATAATTCTTCAAGCCTCATCCTTGAGCTTCATTCTTGTGTATGACTGAGTAACATTCCGCTGTGTATGTATACCACATTTTGCTCATCCTTTCATTCGTCAACGGGTACTTGGTTGTTTGTACCTTTTGGCTGTTATGAATAATGCTTCAGTGAACGGTTGTGCACTCTGTTCAAGTCCCTCCTTAAGTCCTTTCAGTTACGTGCCTACAGGTGGAATTGCTGGGTTCTGTGGAAGTCCCGTTTATTTTTTTTTGTGGAACCACCACACTTTTCCACAGAGGCTGCACTATTTACATTCCCACCAACAGTGCGCCAAGGTTCCAGATACTCTGCGTCCTGGCCAACACTTCTTATTTTCCATCTTTTTTTCATAAAAGCCATCATAGGAGGTGTGAAAGTGATATTTCATGACATTTCATTGATATGTAGTCACTGTTTAAACAGCAGAGGGACAGGGATGGATATAGTTTTCACAGTGAGTCTGAACCCAGACCCGTAACCCGCATTTTCACTCATTTGCTCTGCAGAGTTCTGCGGACTGTCCCCCTGAGCAGAAGCTGGGCCCTGTCCTGAGTGTGAACTGGGTCCCTGTGCCCAAGTGGCTGAGCTCCTGGAGAGTCGCTGCCAGGAGCCCTCACCCCTGCCAGGGGCGTGCTCTGAGGAGGGACGCGGTGTCAGCCTATCTGGTTCACATGCTGTAGTCACGTAGCTCTGCACTGACCAGGACAGCAGCGCGAGCTACGAGGGGCTGTTGAGCACTTAACATGTGGCTAGACCATTGGAGTTATGCTGAAAGTATAAAATAGACACCAGATTTCAAGGACTCTATAGGAAAAAATATGAAACATCTAAAATTTTAAATATTGATTATAGTTTGAAATGATAGTATCTTAGATACATTGGGTTCAATAAAACTTACCTATTTCCCCTTTTTAAAATGTGGCCCAATAGACATTTTAAGATTGTCTATCATCTCACATTGTTTCTTTAGAACAGCTCCGGGTGGTTGGCTGTTTCGAGATGATTTGGGAGCCTGTGCTGGTTATGACCATTTTGGTGCCCCGTGGGCACGTTACACCTTGAGCCCAAATGGCAGTTGTAGAGAAAGTGTCCGTTTCTGCCCCGAGGCTGTCTGTGCAGCCTGCAGTCCCAACGAGGAAAACGGAGGACGCGAGGCCCTTTGAGGGGAGGCTGTGCGTGGCGTGTTTTTGAAACACCAGTTGTTGGTGTGTGATAGGCGATGATTATTTGATACATGGCTGCTGAGTTCGGCTTTCTTACCCTCTCTGTTGCCCTTACTCAGCTCTTCCCTCCCTCCTGTGAGAGGGGAATAGCCAGCACCTCCCGACTAACGGATGATCTCGGGCTAAGCTTTCACCCTTTTCTGGGAGGACAGATTACATGGAACAGAACACAGCAGCCTGTCACTCTGGGAGCAGGGACAGCACGCCAACACAGGTGCCATGAACAGACAGTTCGGTCACAGGAGCAGCCCTGGCAAGAAGCTCGGAAGCTTGCAGCCCGTCCCTGAAAGTGCTGGTTGGCCAACAGCTGAGATTGCACACAGGCCGAGTTTTTGCCTCCGTGTCTGAAGTACATGAAGATGCTGTTGTTCCTAAGCAGAAACACAGGGAGTTTAATTTCTCAGAATGGCAGTTGGCATTCAAGTTGTGTCTGGGGTGTGTGGGCCTGTTCTCACCCTCCTCTTTCCTTTTGCCTAAGCAGCAAATCACACACCATTTTCCAGTGACTCAGCAAATGTTCTTCTGTAATAGGCAGGTGATGAGTTTGTGGGGAAGGCCCTGAGCAGCATCTCAACCAACACGGACTCGGCGTCTGTCGTGCACAGCGTGGACCTGGTGGTGGAGGCCATTGTGGAGAAACTGCAGGTGAAGACCGAGCTCTTCAAGAGGCTGGACAAGTTTGCTGCTGAGTACGTGGCCCCTGATGTTCTTGTTGGGTCAGGGCTCCTTCCCGGGTTCTGGCTTTTGTTCCCAGGAAAACATGTCAGAAGCCCACTTCCCCTTCTCTAGCCCACATCTCTTTGCCCTGTTCTCCATCCCTGACTCCCAGTTTGCTTCCTGAGGCTCGAGCTGTCCTTTCTGATTGGACCCCCAGCCAGGGTGGGATTTCCCGTAGTTGATGGAGGGTCCATTCATGGAACAGGCCTCCATCTGTTGCATCGTCTGGGTCATGGGTCTTCCAGGCCAGAGGACGGAGGAGGCTTGGGCCAGGCCTTCAGTATCTGCTGAGGACCCGTGGAGTAGTTTCATGGGCCGTATTTATTTGGGTGGAACAGACAGAATGGTTGTAAGTGAAGGGGATGCCTGCGTCCCCACAGAGTTCCCCAGAACTCTCCTGTTTTGAGCTTTATCTGTGTTAAATTGAAATAATCACACATGGACAACAACTAAGGGGGGGTGGAAAGGGGAGGGAGGTGGGGGTATGGGGGGTGGGCTGGGAAGGGAGTAAAAGAAAGAATACTGTAGTTGGAAAATAATTTAAAAAATAAATTAATTTTTTAAAAATTGAAATAATCTTGTGAGCATTAAAGGAACACGAAGTTCTTACCAGGCTTCTGGCAAAGGGCAGGAGAGGACAGCCAGCCCGTGAAGGTCGGGTGTGTGGGTGCCTGGGGCTCAGGACCCCGTGCACTGCCAGCAAGCTTGCTTATACATGCAGCTCAAGTGCTCAGAGTCTGGAGCCTTGTGCTGTGTGCTTCTTGGCTTTTGATCGATGTGACACCTGACTGAGTCATTCATGTTCTCCTTCTGTGTTGTTTGGCCACACTTCTCCCTTCTTCAGTGGAACTGAAAGTCAGAATAAGGTTATATGACAAAAGTAATCCAGGAGCAGCCACCAGTGAGCAGTGGCTAAAGAGAGACTTGCACGCCAGCCTGCTGGAGTGTCAACCCTCAGAGCTACATGGTCTGGTGTCTGCAGAGGCCCTGCCCTAACACAGAGAAGAGACTTATCTTCCTGTCACCCATCCAGCACTGTGCTGGTCTGCATGCCCATGCTCTGTGCACTGGCATTTAGGGGCCGCAGAAATATCTGACAGGAAGCGCAGACCCTGTTGGTAGGGGTGTTGGCTCCCGGGTCAGCAGGGCGCCCTCTAAGATTACCAATCATCTGCCCCAGGAAAGGAAGCATGTGTAACCTGGGAGTTTGGCCTCTATCGAAATGTTGGTCCTTCCCTAGTGACGGTGGCTGGTCTGACTGCCCTCTTCATCACCATCGAGTAGTGGAAGGGCTATAGGGAAAGTGGGGAGCCTGGGGCCACCTGCCACCACTTCCCTCTGACTGCGGACTGTCGTGAAGCCTTCCAGCTCTGTTTTATCGTCTGTCATTTAAGTTGAGGGGTTAGGGGTGACGAGTTTCCAAGACCCTCCCAGTTCTAACTCTCTAAGACTAGGTTCCCTAGTAACCTGTCAGATAGGAGTAGTGGCACCTACGCATGCTGCACATGTGACTTTGCTTCTGGGCATCAGCCACCCTTCTCTGCACTTTGGTTTTCATTCTGAGTAGCTTGATTGAGTTATACTTGACTGCCATGTTTACAGTTAGATCCTACAACTGGAGATAAAAGTATGTTCCAGTGATAACATTCCGGATGGAAAGTCTTATAAAATGGCAGGGCCCCGGAGGAGGGCTCCCTGGCTGCAGTGTAAGAACTGCAGGTGCAAAGCTCGGCTGAGGCCCTGGAAGCTGAGCTGAGTCCCGGCTCTTCCTCCCCTTCCCGCACTCACGGACTCCCCACTCACGGACTCCCCGACCCACCCCAGTCCCCACCACCCCCTTTTGTCTTCTCCACACTGAGGCCTGCAGGCATTGCTAATGATCTTTAGGCTTATGCTGTTGGTTTCTAATCAGTATATTTAAGAGAAAAGTATGGTCTTTTCTTGGTCAGTTGTTTGTTTTGTTTTTGTGCCTGCATTTCAGAAAGGGGAAAACAAAAGTTGGTCCAAGAAATTAGATTGTTTCAGGGAAACAGTGAGGGTGTATACGACCTGTGTCTGCACATGGAGTTGAAAGAAGGCATGTGAAGGTACTGTTAGGAGCAGAGCCAGCTCCGCTGATTTGATGGGGGTGGTGTAGCGAACCCTCGGTAGGAGACACTTTCCCCTTCGGGTAAAGTGTGTGCTGGGAGTGCCCCAGGTTGTGCACACTTGGGACTGGGCCGGGTTGTAACTTCATCCTTTCACAAAATGGGCCCACCAGTTGGTGCATCTGCATTTCCCCTTTGTCGTAGGTTGCCCGTCAAAGGTCCATAGTACCTGAGCACCAGCCCCACAAGGCCTGCTGCCACGGCTCAGGGTGCTGGTTTGTGTGGGCCTCGCTCACTGTTACTGTAGGGGGTCTTTTCTCAGTACCTTCCATAGCAGGCAGTGGTTCATAGTATTTCCTCCAGTGACTGACTGAAAACCAGAATTTAAAAACTTTAAAAAATGTCATTTTTTTTTAAGAGGAAAGCCTCTCTACCTAGCTTTTAAATTGGCCAGCTTGGAAGTTGTTTGGAAAAGGTGGGTGTTACAGGGCCTTGAAAGGGAAGCGATTCCTCTCTCAGGCCCTTCGCCAGCCACCCAGCACACTGGTTTTTCCTCTCCTCACTCTCCTCTTTCCAGATTACTTGTTTCTTCTCCTGCCCCTCTTCCCACTTGCCCCTGTTTTCAGGCCGATTGCAGTATTGCTCTTCAGTAAGCAGGAACCCCTGGAGGTGCTCAATAAGGGACAACTTGCCCTCCTGTGCTGTGACACAGGCGCCTTGGTGGTCCTAATTAGCATCAGGCTGTGTTGTGTATACTCATCCACAAGGGGGCGCCATAGGAAAGCCTAGAAGTCTTGCCTGTTTAAAGATTTGCCTGTTGTGCCTTTGGCACTGCGCTTTATTGTGGTCTTAAAAGTTAAATTCAGTTTAAGTCAGTGTGCATTTTAAAAAATATTTTATACGTACAAGAGAAAATGGTGCTGCTTTTTTAGAAGTAGAATACCTTGAACCATATTTATTATGTATATGCATGTATCTTTCCTTCCCCAGTTTTACTTGTGTAACTTTTAATTTAAAGCTGCTTTTGGACCAGGTCGTTTTCTTCTCTTTTCATCTGCATCTCCATTCAGTGGGGAAGTAAAGCTTTTCACTTGAGGGGGAAAGATCTTCATTCATGTTTCTTACCTGATGTTTCTAGTTGAGAATTCAGGGGTCTCTTTTTTTATTCTATTTTATATATTTTTTTATTCTGCTATTACATTTGTTCCATTTTTTCCTCCCCTTTATTCCCCTCTGCCCTGTACCCGTCCTCCGACCATCATTCCCCCACATGCAGTTCATGTCCATGGGTCATACGTATAAGTTCTTTGGCTTCCACATTTCTTGTACTATTCTTAACCTCTTCCTGTCTGTTTTGTACCTACCATCTGTGCTTCTTACTTCCCGTACCTTTTCCTCCATTCTTTCCCATCCCCCTCCCTGCTCATAACTCTCCATGTGATCTCCATTTCTGTAAATCTGTCCTAGTAGTTTCCTTAGTTCACTTTTGTTTTTGTTTTTTTAGGTTCAGTTGTTGATAGTTGTGAGTTTGTTGTCATTTTACTGTTCATATTTTTTATCTTCTTTTTATTAGCTAAGTCTCTTTAACATTTCGTAGAATAAGGAGTTGCTTGATGATGAACTCCTTTAACTTGACCTTATCTGGGAAGCACTTTATCTGCCCTTCCATTCTAAATAATAGCTTTGTTGGATAGAGCAATCTTGGATGTAGGTCTTTGGATTTCATGACTTGGAATACTTCTTTCCAGCCCCTTCTTGCCTGTAAGGTCTCTTTTGAGAAATCTGCTGACAGTCACCTTTGTAGGTGACTGTCCCCTTATCTCTTGCTGCTTCTAGGATTCTCTCCTTCATTTTAATCTTGGCTAATGTAATTATGATGTGCCTTGGTGTGTTCCTCCTTGGGTCCAACTTCTTTGGGACTCTCTGAGCTTCTTGGACTACCTGGAAGTCTATTTCCTTTGCCTGATTGGGGAAGTTTTTCTTCATTATTTGTTCAGATAAGTTTTTAATTTTTGTTGTTTTTCTTCTCTTCCTGGCACCCCTATGATTCAGATGTTGAATGTTTAAAGTTGTCTTGGAGGTTCCTCAGCTTCTCCTCATATTTTTGAATTCTTGTTTCTTCATTCTCTTCTGGTTGAATGTTTATTTCTTCCTTCTGCTCTAAACCATTGATTTGATTTGAACCAGTTCCCTACCCATCACTGTTGTTTTCCTGTACATTTTTCTTTATTTCACTTTTCATAGCCTTTACTTTTTCCTCTGTTTTGTGACTGTACTCAACTAATTCTGTGAGCATTCTGATTACCAGTGTTTTGAACTCTGCATCTGATAGGTTGGGTCTCTCTTTGTTGCTTAGTTATATTTTTTCTGGAGCTTTGATCTGTTCTTTCATTTGGGCCCCCCTTTTTTTTTTTCTTTTGGTCTCAGCGTGCCTGTTGTGTAGTAAGGGGCGGAGCCTTAGGTGTTCACCAGAGCTGGGTAACCCACCTTGCTGTGTTATGGCACTGTCTGTGGGGAAGGGTCCAAGAGGGAACAGCTGCTTGCTCCCCTCTCTGCTGGTTTTCAGTCACTTCCCCCACTATCCACAGTCAAATTGGGCCCTTCTGGTGCTGATTTCCAGGTGGGTGGTTTTGTGTACATTCTAGGACCCTGGGTCTCTCCAATGAACTCTCCTGTGAGGCTGGGAGTTTCTCCCACTGCTGCCTCAACCCCCTCATGTGTTTTCAGTCAGAGGTTTTGAGGCTTTATTTCCTCACACTGGGACCCCGGTTTGGGGGGTCTGTCTTGCTCCTCAGTTGTTTCTCCTGATGTATCCACACACTGATGTGGGACCACCTGCCCCATTAGCTTCCTCCTTGTTGGGTCTGCCAGGTGCCGCCTTGCACCCCAGCTGCCTGTCTCTGCCCCTCCTACCAGTTTGTATGAATGTTTCTTCTTTAATTCCTTTGTTTTCAGACTTCCATAAAGCTTGATTTTCTTGCAGCTCTGGTTTTTTCTTTGTTTTTTTCCTACTTTTCATTGTGCAAGGACACAAAGTGTATCTGCCTACCAGAATCCAGGTGTTTCTTTACAATATTTTGTGCATTTGATGCACCCTTCTTTCTTTCATTAGTCTTTGATCACTTATAGTTTAATCTTGCGACTGAGGTTGGTTAAGTAGCTGCCTCCTTTTTTCCTAACATAACACAAATATTAACTAATACTAGTAGAGAGAAGAAATTTTGCTCCGTAAAATTAAGGAAAGATTGGCAAAGATTAAATATACCTTTGGAATAGGTAACTTAAGTCCCTTAATATGAAAGTCTAAAGCTAAACCAGGGCACGTGATTTCAGCTTCCTTTAGGAAGAAGTATCTTTTCTCTGACTTCCTTCGGGGGTTCAGGACTGCAGACCTGGGCAGTGAGCAGTTGCCTTGCGCAGCGCCCCTGAGAGTTGTCCTGACCATTCCAAAGATGGGACTCATTCCAGTACTGACCATCTTTCTCTCCACAGACACACAATCTTTGCCAGCAACACTTCCTCTTTGCAGATCACGAGCATAGCCAACGCCACCACCAGACAAGACCGATTCGCTGGGCTCCATTTCTTCAACCCAGTGCCCATGATGAAGCTCGTGGAGGTCAGTGGGTACCTGCTCATGCATGTTTGCTTGCTTTGCGACCTCTCGGTCCTGCATCTCTGATTCGTTCCTGCCCTGCCACTGGGGATTGAACTGGATGGTTTTAATGGAAGGAAGGTTATCCTTGTGCTGTGATTCTCTGGCTGTGGCCTGTCCTTTTAGACCAGTGGAAGGCCCCTGTGCTTTGTTCCTTCACAGCCCTCTGTTCTGACCCAGGGTGTCTAGGAGGGCTGTTAACTTTGTGGATGTCATTTACTTGTTTGCGCCATAGCTGATGGGCAGTGCAGGGAAAGGCCTCAGACTGGGAAGGCAGCACTGAAGACCCCTGGCTTGATGAGACTCAGGGGAGAGCTTCACATGTTCACATGGTCTCCTTGAGGGCAGTTTGCTCCAGACTGGAAGTGGAATTCTTGCTAGACAGCCTGGTGTTGCACAAGAGCCACTGTACCACCTCATCTGCCATTCCTGTGGTGAGTTTGGCCCCATGTAATAGGGCTTCAGTGTTGTCCCCAGATGAGGCACATCTCTTAGGTGTTGTGACCAGAGCTATTTAAAGAGCTCCTGATAACCTTAAACCTCCTGACCACAAACCTGAAGGTGGAGGAGAGTGGCCAGGGAGGGCTGCCCCAGCCCAAGTAGAAGCTTCCTGGTTGGGCCACTTCTACTTGGTTGGAGACTTGGGGACGGGGGAGATGGAGTCAAAATAGACAATTTGCACCTGAAATGTGGCAGCTTGCCTTTTATAGGTGACTAATTATGGGGTCTGAGGAGCAGCAGCTGTTAAAGTAGCATTTGTTGTGGGGTTGAGGGTTTACTGGCCTGCCAACTGTGGGGGACGGAGCCAGCCGAGGGGCAGGCCCCGAGGCCCTGCCTGCCAGGGTGTTTGGGGATCTGTTCTCTCCACTGCTGCCTTCCCCCCCAGGCCCCCTTCCTTCCTTTATCCCCATAAGCGTTACCTTCTAGGTTAATGATGACTTTTCCTGGAGTTTTCTGTCAGGTGACAACTCTGACCACTCTTGAGGTAGGACTCCATCTGTTCCGTTGACATTGCTCCCCAACTTCTTCCAATGTACTCCCTTCCCTAAGGCTATTTTTGAAGAAGTTGAAGAATGAAGTTGAGGGGTGGTATGGGAGTATAGGAAACCACATGTATCCTCTTTTATGCAGAAAAGAGCAAAAGAAGTGGAATGGAATTTTTAACATTTCAGGACTTAGGGACTAATTACTTTCTTTAGTTACTGTATTATGTGCATATGTGTTTTGCAGCTAAAGACATTTTGTAGATTTACTTCACACTCTAACAATGTTGTTTTCAACTGCATTTGTCTGATGTCTGTGTCTTTGGAAATGTCGTGCATTGGTTGTTAACAGCCAATGCTTATTAGCAAATGTTAGCATTTTCTAGATGTTTTCTAAAAGTGCTCTTCTCTGTTCAGTGTTCATTCTTTAACTTCAGTGCTTGCATGTGTGTCTTAATGGCTCTTCTCTTTTACTTGGAACTACACGTAGGTATATTTTCAGAATCTGCTGGAACTATAAGCAGATTATCTGTAGCATGTTGCTCTTTGTTGAATGAATATTTAGCCCTTCTGTTAAAAACCTTTACCACTGACTTCTTTAAACCAACAAATTATTTTTAAAACTCCGTAATGAGCAGCCTTCACCCTCGCTCCATCTGCACAGTTCTGATAGAGGCTTCTGACGCCTCCTGGGGGCAACTCTTGGACTGCGGGTGGTCCGTGATGCCTGCAGAGCTGGGCCCGGCCGGTGCTTCCCAGGGCTGCTCTCCGCCTCCTGGTGCCGGGCCCTGTTCCCACCCGTTTACTTCCCTGGGTGTCAGAACACGCCGCCACACCCACGCTGTGATCACATTAAGACGCGAACGATAATTCTCTTGGTGTGTATGGTGTCTTTCATCTCGCACAGACACCAGGTCATTAAGCCATACAGTGCTCTTCCGAGGACGTGTCAGGTATCAGTCTCCCATTTCAGGGGAGAGAGGTGAGGCCGGGGGTTGGTCTGCCCTGCCCGTGCTCATAGAAAGGGCCTGGTGCCAAAGCCAAGCCTGTTTGTTTGGACTCTCATTGAAATTTCCTAACTGGTGTTTAAATTATATAGAGAGTATGTATTTTCCTGACTCTCTCCATTTGTCAAAATGTAATTCCTAACAGGTAAATTCCCTTACTGTTTCCTGAGGGCTGACTCAGGGCGTGGTGCTCGGTACCGTTTCCTGTAGATCCCAGCTGGCTGCTGCACCCTTGCACGCCGCCTCCGGGGGGCTCACAGGACTGTGGGCCGCCTCCCGAGGTGCCTGGTGGGCAGCAAGCCCCAGCCACGAGCCCCTGTTTGCTATAAATGAAAGCCCTCCTCTGTGATGAGCCTGTTCTGAAGCAAAGGGAGCCTTTAGCCTCTGGGGCATCTGTGTGCAAGAGGATGGAATAATGGGGAGACACTCAACTGAGGAGCCAGGAGACCTGTGACTTGGCCAAGTCACTCAATATTCTGGGGCTCCTTCTCTCTACTAAGAGAAGGGAGGACTCCATGCTGAGTCTTTGGGACGGTCATCATACTTGAGTAGACTTCCAGTTATCTCCATGAAGCAGTGAATAGTGGTAGTAAAACATCAGCAGAAGCCAGCATTTCCTGAGCACTTCAGACCTGGTAGGGGCTGCACGTAGTACTGTACCTCCCCGACCAGTTACGTCCTCACCTCAGGTCCCTGAGGTAGAGTGATTTGTGTCATGTTGGTTTCACAGAGCATGCCCAGAATCACGGGGCCAGGAAGAGGTGCCACTGGGGTTTGTCCGCCTCGGCAACAAAGCCTGTAAAACCACACGCGCACACACATTTCTATGTAAAGGCTTGATTTTGTGTGTTGTGCAGTACCTCACTGTCTTACAGTGGGCATTTTGGTAAGCATTTTGTTTCTGGCTTGAGATCCTTCTGTCTATTTTTGCTGCCTCTGCGGATGCTTTTGGTCAGTGTTTCTTGAATTGTTCTGTTAAAATGGTTTGCCAACTCTTGGTCATAATTCTTTTCTGTTTTGCATTTCCAGGTCATTAAAACACCAATGACCAGCCAGAAGACGTTCGAATCTCTGGTGGACTTTAGCAAAGCCCTGGGAAAGCATCCTGTTTCTTGCAAGGTAGAGAATGAGTAGGTTGAAGGGGGTGATTTTCCTGGGACCCTGACGTACTCCGGGTAGCATTCTTACATTGTAGAGTGATGCGGGAGATAAGGCCCTTGTGCTGCAGGCCTGTCCGTGAGCGGTGACAGCAAGCTGCACCTCCTCTCGGGCTTGCCAGCCGGGAAGCCCGCGGCTGTCGTGGAGAGGCTGGGATCCTAATGGGGCCCAGCTGACTGTTGATGGGCGGCTGCGTTTCCATAAATGGATTTTGTCACCCCGTCAGCATCAGCTTCTGCCGGGCCGCGGGGAGCCAGAACCACCCAGTGCGTCAGGCACAGCCTGGCGTACACATGCCTGCCAAACGAGCACAGGCTTCCCTGCTGGCAGGACCACCGCACGTGCCTGGGAGGTGATGAGCAAGGAGCAGCCGCCCGGCCTGGGTTGCGGGAGAAAAGCTGTTTCTCAGTGGAACGCCGCGTTGGGGTCTGTGCTGGGTTGTTTCCAGTGAGAGGCGCGGTCAGATGGAGGGCACGCCTCGGCTTTCCCCCCTTTCTTAAGGTACCTGCCGATTAGATGTCGAGTGACCCCCTTGCTGTCCACTGCTTCACTCTGACCGCCTCGATCCCGCTGCTGTAGCTCCTCCCTGGGCCCCCCAGGTTTAGGGGCCACACTTCTGCGTGACTTGGCAGTTTCTGCTGAAGCGGTTGTGTGACAAAATGCCATTACAAATTTTCATAAATGTGTCACCTGCTTTTTTGACCATAAGCTTTTGTATTGTCGGGGTTCTTTTCATAGCACACTGCTTTCTGAAAGGTTCTCAGCTTTGACCTCGGTGTTGTGTTAACCGTGAAGACTCGTGTCGTTCATGATTCATGTAGGTTTGTCTGTCGGTGTGGACCCGGGAGCCAAAGAGAGCAGACAAATAAGTGCCGCTGCCCCATTCCGGGCCAGTGTTATGCGGGGGTCCTCATCATTTTAACGCTCATTTGTTGTTTGTTTAGTTTTGTGGTTTTTTACATCATCTGAATTTTTAAAAAATCATCTTACTAACCAGATGTTACAGTTGCACTTTCTTACCAGTCTGTACGTGTTAGTGGCAGATAGCGATAATGTGTTAGAAAGAACCTCAGTGTGTAGCCAGTCAGAAGCTAGTTATGAGAAGCGGAAGTGCGGGGCCGAGCGGGTGGGCATCTTCAGCAGCGGAATCATTAGCTCATGGAGAGTGAGGATCTGTCTCCCGCTGGGGTCGCCAAGGCAGATGCAGGGTTAGGACCTCTTTGGTCTCATAAAATTGCCTTTGTTATCCAGAACTCTTTCTCTGGGCTAGACCTTAGTGCTTTCTGGGAGTCTGTGGGCCAGTTATTCAGGCTTTGGGTGAGGTGACCAGACAATATAAGGCAACCACCTAGGACAGGGGTCTGCACACCTTTGTATAAAGGGCCAGCAGTGAGTATTGTAGGACACCTGGTTTCCGCTGCAGCTTCTCAGCCCTGCTGTTGCAGTAGAAAAGCAGCACAGGTAACAAACACATGCTGAGATGAGGGTGGCCGCGTCCTAATAAAACTTTATTTAAAAAACAGGTTGGGGAAAAAACAGGTTTTGGACTATAGGATTATAGTGGTAATTACCAACACCTGACAAAGAAGCATGGCATTTAATGTGCCTGCAGTGTGTCTGTTTTCATAGTGAGATTTCACAGGTGTAAAACAGGGACGGCCCCGGACTCTAGAGCCAGCCCGACCTGGTTTGAATCCTGCCTCTGGCACTTATTAGCTGTGTAGCCTTGGGCAAGTTACTTGTTTTCTCTGTGCCTCAGTGTCCTCTGCCTCACAAACAGGTGATAATGGTATTGTCTCACAAGGGTTAGTAGGAGGAGTAAATGAATTAATATTTGTAAAATACTTAGAACAATACCAGCCACATAGTAAGTACAGCAAAATGTATTTAATAAATAAAAGCATGAACAGTGTAAGTGATGTCTCTTTTCATTTCACTAATATTTTGAAACTGCCTCAGCATTCATACCAGCACTGAATAGTGGGGAAAAGACTCTCAAAAATCTTATTAGCAAAATGCTGTTTGTTCCAGTGACTATTTCTCTGATTAGTAGTGTATTTAAATATTTTATGAATTTTAGGACTCTTCCCAAGATCTTTATGTAGACAATATTAACTGTATCTGTGTAAAAACTGTGTATACTATAAGTGGAGCATATATTTTTCCCAGGCTGCTTTCTGAATTCTAACCTTGTATGTGATGTGCTTCCTGTACTTGGGTACCCTGTCTTGAGGTTCCACAATAAACTTTTCGAAGATGTAAAGTATTTTTGCCCTGGTTATAAAATCATCTTGTTTCATTAATATAATCTTGGTTAAACTGGTAAAGGCTTTTTGTGGATCTCTGTATTCCTGGTGGGAGATAGGAGTAGGAGGTGGTCTCACAGGACACACCAGTCCTGTGGCTTTGCTGCACAGTGGACACTGCACGCAGTAGGGTGAGCTACAGCAGTAGCACAGGGCGGTCACCTTTAACTTGATGTTATGCATTACCTTGTGTGTGTCAGGAAGGGCACCCAAGGACAGGGTGAGGATTCAGCCTGCAGGGAGATCACAGCCCTTTGTTAAAAGAGGAGACGGTATTTCCTTGATGGAATCAGCTGTACATAAATACCACCGAGAAACACATAGAACTGCAGCCTGCCCCACAGGCCCCCAAGAGAGATCAGCAGCTGGATCCATACCCCACACTCGGCCTGCAGGAGAGACGAGGAAGCGTTTCCATGTGGAGAGCCTTGGAGGGCGTCATTCAGGGTGGTGGGTCCCAGGTGGTGTGTGTGAAGGCCTGTGAGCCGGCTCTCGGGGCAGCTGCTCAGTTGTCCAGGAACCTGTTCCCAGCTCGACCATCTTGTACTGTGTGTGGAAAGCAGGAGAAAACCCTGGATGGTCCAGGAATGGCTCCGAGGAAGAAGTGCTGCCCCTGTGAGGGTTGTTTGGGATGGATCGATACTTTTATTAGATCCCTGAAAGGAATATGGGCAAGGAGAGGAGGAAAGGGGCTCCCGCTGGAGTGTAGGGCAGTGCGCCCCGCACGCGTGGTTTCTGGTGGATCTTCTCAACTTGGCGCGTGGGAACGATTACTCCCATCTCACAGATGATGAAACTGAATTTCAGGGTGGTGCACGGTCAGAGTATTAGAATTTGAGCCCCGATCTGCCTACCCCAAAGCTGTGCTCTTCTATTGACCCCCTACCTTCATCAGCCTTTGTTTCAGGATCCGTGCAGTGGAGACATCTGGTAAGGCCATGCTGTCGTTTCAAACCAGTTTTGAAAATGTATAGCTCCATAAATGTGGGTAGCACAACCCAGGGTGGGCAGGGACAACCTGGTGACTTCACAAAAGGGTTAAGTTCAGTGAACATTCACTGATCTTTTATTTTTCTGTCTCCTAACACAGGACACCCCGGGGTTTATCGTGAACCGCCTGCTGGTGCCGTACCTCATGGAGGCAGTCCGGCTGTTCGAACGAGGTAGCTGTCCTGAGCTGGGCAGGAGCAGCAGGTCTGGGAGGCTCTGCCCCGGGGAGTCCTCACGCGGGGTCTGCAGGAAGGGCGGGCCATGCCGGGCAGGGGAGCGTGACTCCGCCTGGCCCTGGGCCCTGCTGCCTTTGCCACTGCGTGCCCAGGGGTCCCTGCGTTCCCTGTGAGGCCTTTGAGCTATGGCTCTAGGACCCTCCACTGTAGTCCCAGCAAGAGTAATTCCACAGCCAGCCTGGGTTTATAGCCTGGGTCTCTGTTTTTGGTTGAAAGATTTATCACTTAAAATAATAGTAATAGTGTAAAAATCATTGGTCAGATGACCTTCACTTTTCCTTAAGGTTCTAAAATTGAAGCTGTGAACAACCTAGGACTTCCGGCCAAGATGGAGGTGTAGATAGATATACTTTGTCTCCTTGCACAATGAAAAGGACAACAACAAATTTAAAAATAAAATATAACCAGAACTGCCAGAAAAATCAAACTGTATGGAAGTTTGACAACCAAGGAATTAAAGAAGAAACATTTATCCAGACCGGTAGGAGGGGTGGAGATGGGCAAGCCAGGGTGGAGAGGGCTTGCAGCAAGGCAGTGACCGGAGGACCAGGTGGTTCCACATTTGTGTGCAGATAAACCGGGAAGAACAACTGAGACAGACTCAGGGTTCCTGCACAGGGAAATAAAACCTCAAAACCTCTGGTGGTAAAAACCTGTGGGGCTTGTGGCAGTGGAAGAAACTCCCAGCATCACAGGAGAGTTCGTTGGAAGGACCCGCAGGGTCCTAGGGAGAGACCCACCCACCCAGGAATCAGCACCAGAAGGGCCAGTTTGTTTGTGGGTAGCAGGGGGAGGGACTGGAAGCCAGCAGAGAGCTGAGCAAGCAGCACTGCTGCTTGTTCCTTCTTGGACCCCACCCCCACAAATAGTGACACACAACACAGCGACTTGGGCTGTCCTGCCCTGGTAAACACCTAAGGCTTCACCCCTTACAACCTAACAGCTGCTCTGAGACAAGAAAATATGGCCCAAATGAAAGAACAGATCGAAGCTCCAGAAAAAATATAACTAAGCAACGTAGCCAACGTATCAGATGCAGAGTTCAAAATACTGGTAATCAGGATGCTCACAGAAATGATTGAATATGGTTGCAAAATAGAAGAAAAAGTGAAGTTTATGAAAGTGAAATAAAGTAAAATATGCACGGAACCAACAGTGAAGGGAAGGAAACTGGGACTCAAATCAACGGTTTGGAGCAGAAGGAAGAAATAAACATTCAACTAGAACAGAATGAGAAAACAAGCTTTCAAAACAATGAGGAGAGGCTAAGGAACCTCCAGGACAACTTTAAACATTCAACATCTGAATCTTAGGGGTGTCAGAAAGAGAAGAACAACAGCAAGAAATTGAAAACTTATTTGAAAACATAATGAAGGAAAACTTCCCCAATCTGGAAAAGGAAATAGACTTCCAGGAAGTCCAGGAAGCTCAGAGAATCCCAGAGAAGTTGGACCCAAAGAAGCACACCAAGGCACGTCATAATTACATTACCCAAGATTCAAGATAAGGAGAGAATCTTAAAAGTAGCAAAGAGGTTCCCATCAAACTGTCAGTTGATTTTTCAAAAGAAACCTTACAGGCAAGAAAGGGCTGGAAAGAAGTATTTGAAGGCACGAAAGGCAAAGGACCTACATCCAAGATTACTTTATAAGAGAAAAAAAACAATGAAAACAAAAACTAAGCAAACAACTAGAACAGGAATAGAAGCAGAGAAATGGAGATCACATGGAGGGTTTTCATTGGGGAAGGGGGGCAGGAATGGGGGGAAGTACAGGGAAGAAGAAGCGTAATTAATAGGCATTAAATAGGAAGAAGTCAAAAGTGGTATAGGAAACATGACTAAAAGAACTTATATGTACAACCCATGGACATGAACTAAGGTGGGGATGCTGGAGGATTGGGGGGTGCAGGGATGAGGGGGGATAAAGGGAGAAAATTGGGAAAACTAATAGCATAATCAATAAAATACAATTTTTAAAATGCATAAATGGGAGGTACAAAATAGACAAGGGGCCCTGGCTGGTGTGGCTCAGTGGAATGAGGGCTGGCCTGCGAACCAAGGGGTTGCTGGTTCAATTCCTACTCAGGGCACATGCCTTGTTTGCAGGCCAGGTCCCCAGTAGGGGACTCATGAAAGGCAGCCACACATTGATGTTTTCCTCTCTTTCTTCTCTCCATCCTCTCTCTCTTAAAGTAAATAAATAAAATCTTTTTTTTATAATTTTTTTTTAATTTTACTTATTTATCTTTAGAGGGGAAGGGAAGGAGAGAGGGAGAGAAACATCAATGTATGGTTGCCTTTCATGCATCCCCTGCTGGGAATTGGCCTGCAGGGAACCAGCCTGCAACCTGGGTATGTGCCCTGACTGGGAATCGAACTGCGATTGTCTGGTTTGCAGGTCCGCGCTCAATCCACTGAGCTACACCAGCCAGGGCAATAAATAAAATCTTAAAAAAAATAATAAGAGACGAGATTAAAAATAGTATGGGAAATGGAGAAGCCAAAGAACTTATATGTATGACCCATGGACATGAACTAAGTTGGGGGAATGATGGTGGGAGGTGCAGTGTAAGGAGGATAAAAGTAAGGAAAAAAGTGGGAAAACTATAATAGCATAATCAATAAAATGTATTTGGAAAAGATCAAATTGAGGCTGCAGGATAGGAAGTAAGTAACAGGGCTGAATGTGCCATGGACCCTGCCAAACAGCTCTGCTGGCCTTGCCGATGATGCCACCATGGGTGATGTTTTTTGAACCTTGAGAAAGGTCAAAATGTTTTCTTAATATTTGTCAATAGAAAGATAAGACTTGGGACCTGGTCCAGGTTACAGAATGTCATGTATCCTCCTGCCTGCCTTCCCCACCACATCTCTGGGAAGGTAACTATCACTCTGCTTCAAAGGCAAACAGACCTTAATAGGACTGGATAAAAAACAAGTGTAATTGTTTTCAGTTACTTCACAAATGCTTGCTTGGAGAATGTCATTTTTGAAACAAAACGTTTATACCAGCTCTTCTGGAGAGATGAAAGCACATTTGCTTTCTCAAAATCTGCTTTAAATATTAAAACTTTTCTGTTTCATGGAAACATTTGCCTCAGTTTTGCTCAAGATCAAACCAGCACTTCTGTGTTTATCTATCAGCAAATATACCTAATTACACCTCAAAGAAAACGGGAAGTGTTCTGCCCTACCTTGAAAGGCAGGGTTGTTTTTTTTTAGATGTAATGTGTTAGAATGTAGCATGTGGATGATCTACCTCCTAATGGTGTTTTTCTCACTGAAACATACTGTCACTTTGGTAGTACGAGTTTCCATTTGATAGAGTTTCGATCTACCTTTCAGCTGATTGTCAGTCGAGAGCCCTCTTGTCTCTGTGCCCTCACGGGCAGTGGTCCCTTTCTGAATAGATGGACTCCATTTGACCCTCACTGTCACTGGTGGCCTGCAAGGTGAAGCTGGCAGCGGGCATCTGACCCCGTGGGGGAACTGCTGCTGGTTTGATTTGATGCTGCTCCCAGTGCCCCGTCATTGCCGCCCCTTCGTCTCTTTCCCCACAGCCCTCGTGGACCCTCCGAGCCAGAGCACGTGCTTCTGGAGCAGCTGGGTGTCAGGTCTGGTGTGGGTGCTTTCTCTCAGCAAGCCACATGATGGTCTGAGCTCCTTATGTCACCCCTCATGCCACCGCCTCACGGTTCTCCCTCCTTCAGCCAACTCCGAGGTGTGTTTACATGCACACTGGCCACCCCGTTGCCACGTGTCTGCATCAAGCGGCTGTCTGATCCCTTCAGCTTTGAAACCTGAAGCCCTTTTGGATCACCCTTCTCTTGCCTGTCACATCTGTTCATTTGTTACTTTTGATTCCTCCCTGTCACCCCAGTTCCTTTGTGCTAGTCGGCCAGTGTCAGTGAGGCGCTTCCAGGCAGCAGACGAGTTCACGCTACGTCTGGTCTTTTCCTAACTGGTCTCCATTGCCATGCTCATGGGAAGTAGCCTGCTGTCCAGCAGGTGAGGAGACTGCCTGCTCTGTCTGCCCTACCCCACCCCCACCCCAGCTGGGGGAGCCCCGGGGCCCAGCACAGAGTCGTACAGTGAAGTCAGTGACTATAGCTCAGCCCTTTCTGAACTCATTTGAGGAGGACTCCATACAACACTGCCTTGATCAGCTTGGGCTGCTATAGCAAGAATACTGCGGACTGGGTGGCTTATAAATAACAAGTTTATTTCTCACAGTTCTGGAGGCTGGAAGTGTGCAGTCAGTGTGACAGCACAGCTGGATTCCGGTGAGGGGCCCCTTCCAGCTGCAGACTGCTGACTCCTCGCTGTGTCCTGTGGAGACTGCAGAGCAAGGAGCAGGCTCTAAAAAGGGCTCTAATCCCACCCATGGGGGCTCCACCCTCATGACCTCATCTAACTAATCACCTCCCACAGGCCCCGCCTTTTTATATCTTTGCATTGGGGATAGAGTTTCAACATCTGAGCTTGGGGGACACAGACATTCGCCCTGTAACAGGCACTGTTGATAGACCTGCGGTGCGAGTGCTCCGCACAGACAGGCGTGGTACAGGGCTCCCTAGGGTGCTGGCCGCTCTCAGGACGAGGGGTGGGCATCACGGCAGGGGCCATCTCTGTTGTCATCTACTCACACATCCTGGACAGCTGGCAGAAAGTCGCAGGCTGTCACCACCCCTTCTGTCCCCATGGTATCTCAAGGCACTCTACTGCCTTCTCACCTGTGCTCCGACGTTCTGCACCTTGGGTCGTCTGCCTGGGCCTCCATTCTCAGTGCCCTTCAGCTCCGACTTCACTCTCCTGTTCCCACCCATTCCTGCGGTAGGTACAGCCTGATTGGTGTGGTCGGCCGCCCTCATCCTGTGTGTCAGAGCTCACTCTCCAGACCTTTGAACAGGCCGGTGCCCAGCAGCAGACAGCTGACCCCATTGGATGCCACTCTGACAAGTCAGTCAGCCAAGGGCAGGGTGATGGGGCCACATGGTTAGCTCTTGGGTGACACCCTGGGAGCGCCCCCAGTCACTGGCTACCTGCTCGCACTGTCATTGCCCTCCTTAGGACTTTCACTGGTTCTGTCATCACCTGCCACGTACAGCGCCCCTACCTTTCCTCACCCTCTGCCCCTGCCTTCATCAGCACACACCTCACCCCCACCTTTGTCCCTGTGCCCTGCCAGTGTCCTCAGGCCACAGGCTGGACCTGATCTGTGTTGTTGCCACCCTTCTCCATTGTCTTCTGTACTCTTTTCCGTGGCAGCACCCGGGTCTTCATCCTAATATTCCACAAAGTGCTGGTGTAGGGCCGGCATTGAGGTCACTGTTGGTGAATGAAGGAATGCTGGCTGTGTAGAGGTTCTGACCCTTGTTGCTGTGACCCTGGTTGTTGTTAGTGCTAACAATGGCTGGTAGGTGGCGCTGATGAGCCAGCAAGAGCCCTGTTGGGGCCAGTCCTGGGATCCCAGGTTCCCGTGATGCAGAAGATCTGGGAGTTTACTGAGGAAGCTTCTCTTTGTTGTCTAGAGTTAAGGGCTCTTAAATGGGTAGGAGGATCCCTTGACCCTCTTATGGTTGATGCAGAATTTCGTGTGTAGTACATTTTTTTTGGAGAGGGTGTCAGATTCTCAGTGACGTGCTTCACTGAGCAACATACAAGGAAGGTTAGGAAGTATTCTTAAAACGTGATATACCACATTTAATTCCCACACGGCAAACCGATCTTTGTGTCTGTGTTATTTATTTCTCTCTTCTTTGTGCCTCTTTGCCTCTGTATTACTAAGAGTGAATTTTAGAGTTGTGCTTTGTAAAACCTTTTATTTTTTTAGATATTCTGTCTTTGTGTGTGTGTGTGTGTTTGATTTTTGTTTTGAAATAGTTAAATGAGCCTCTGAATCTAGAATTACAGTCTTGCCTCTAGGATTCATTGCCTGTCCTCGAATATAGATTTGATTAAATGAATTTAGGTAAGTTGGGGTCATTATGCTATCAGGTTTCTGTCCCCAGGGAGTCTGTATTCTACTGAGAGGAGACAGCTCCTGGTAAGTAACCAACAGATAACCAAGTTAGGTTGTGACCGGGAGGCTCTGGCAGGAGTCCTAGCCTAGAGCCCTGACAGTTGCAGGTTTACATGCATAGGGAGAGATGGTACTCTGAGCAGAAGTCAGATGTCTGAGGACACTGGGCCCCAGGCACAGGGGGTGGCAGGTGCTGAGCCAGAGGAATGTGCGAGGCTCATTCCTCATTCCCAGCTCCGACACTGCAGACGCCTTAGGGTTTAAGGAAATTCTGTGAGCAGAATCCACTTTTCCATTGCTGTGTTATTTCTCATTCCTGTCTTGGTGTATGTTGTTCCTGCTGCCTGGATCCCCTTCCCTGCCTGCTCTTCCCTTAGGATTCTCTTTGGGACTTTTAGAACCTGGGCCTGGTGGTGGTTTTGATAAAGTAATGGTAATGCGAGTGAACCTGTCCATTGTTGCCCACAGAGCTGTGTGAATCTGCAGCCCTTATTATGGAGAAATGTCTGATTGACACCTAAGTCCTCCCGTTGTATCATGAGCACTTATGCTCACGAGTGGTCGTCTTGGTTCTCTCCGTCTCCTTCTGAGTCTGGGTGCCTGGTACATAACAGATGAACGCACGGGGAATGAGTGAGTGCGGACACCTGATAAGGCTCATACATATGATCATTTTTGTTCTCTTTGCCTTCTTATGACCTAAAACTCAAATCATGATTCTCAGGCAGGATCTCCTGACTAATTAGTAGAGTACTAATAATACCACCCTTATCAAATAATTGGTTGGTATTTGAATCACCTTGGACTGCCTTGAAATCCTTTAGCATTACTTTAGTACTCAGTCTGATTTTTAAAAAGCCTTTATAGATGTTTAAGTAGTTCCTCTTTCTCATGCCCCCAAATCTGAAATATTTAGGTAGGACACCTGTGAGTATTTTAATATTTTAGTATCATTACCCCTTTATGCTGTGGAACAAAATTCTAGATAGCCAGTTATTAGAGACTCTTCCCGTTCCTGATTTCGGAGAAAGAGGACAGGTCGTTCCCGCTAAAGACCTCTTATGGTCCAAGGACAATCCATTTAGGATAAAGTTCCAAGGAAAATGCCTCTGGGCCCTTGTCTTTGTCTTCTCAACACTTTTTTCAACTCGCATGGCCATTCAAAATCGGGGTTGGACTTTTCTTTGAATATTATCTTGGCTGAGGAGCTTGTGTCAATGTGATTCTGCAGGCATACTCATCACTTGTAAAAAAAAAAAAACCAAGAAAGCTAGAGTGGAAAAATATGCATATAATAAATACAAATGTACATATATAATAAAAAACAAAAAAATAAGTTCATTCATCAATCAAAAATCTGCTCTAGCTTTAAATGACATTTTAGTAAATCATTTCAGAATTGGAAAATTCCAAGGCATTAGAAAGTAACTCATGTTTCCAGGCCACTGGGGCTTTATCTTTCCAAGGACAGAATTCACCTCACAGACTGGTGGAATAGCTTTGAAATCTTGTGACTTATTTGGCAAAGTCTTACCCAAGCTAGAAATCCTGACTCTGAATATTTTTTTAATGTGCAAATACGTAAAACTAGTAATTTTGGAACTGACAGCTTGACAAGGAGAATCGTGGGAAAGATGATGGTGACCCAGGGCTGCCCTCTTCTCCCCAGGTGACGCGTCCAAGGAAGACATCGATACTGCTATGAAGTTGGGGGCTGGGTACCCCATGGGCCCCTTTGAACTTCTGGATTACGTCGGGCTGGATACTACGAAGTTCATCATGGATGGTAGGACTTGGGATTCTCTGTTGTCTTTCTCTGAGTTGAGGTAGTCTCTCTCCACCATGACTTCTAATGCCTATTTAAAACAAATTATTAGGCCCTGGCTGGTGTGGCTCAGTGGATTGAGCGCAGGCCTGGGAAACAAAGGATCGAGGTTTGATTCCCAGTCAGGGCACATGCCTGGGTTGCAGGCCAGATCCCAGTAGGGGACACACAAGAGGCAACCACACATTGATGTTTCTCTCCCTCTCTCCTTCCCTTCCCTTCTGTCTAAAAAGAAATAAATAAAATCTAAAAAAAAAAAAAAAAAGAGTCCCAGAAAAATAAATAAGTAAATAAATAAATAATAAAACAAATTATTAGGGTCTCAGTAGACTTTCCAAATCCTGCCCATACCAGCTTAGATTCAAATTAATAGATAAATGGTAGGAGAAGGAAAAACATGACTGCCTGGTGTCTCCTCAGGGTGCCTTTTTGATTTTTAACTTTTCATTTTTAATTATATTCACAGGAAGTTTCAAGTGTAAAGTGGACAGGTTCTGTTTACCCCTCTCCCCAGGACTGCCCAGTGGTCCCGTCTTACGTGACCATAGTACAGTGTGAAAACCAGGAAACGGACGTTGGTGTGATGCGCCATTCTCTCACATACTCTGATCAGTAGAACCTCTTCTGCAATCAAGATGCACAACCATCTTTCTTAATGTGACCATTTTAGGCCCTGGGCAGGTGGCTCCGTGGGAGCGTCATCTCCATACACCAAAGTTGTGTGTTCTGTCCCCGGTCAGGGCACTTACAAGAATCAACCAATGAATGCAGACATGAGTGGAACAACAAATCAATGCTTCTCTCTCTCTCTCTCTTCCTCTCTCGAAAACCAATTTAAAAAAAAAAAAGTGTCCATTTTACTCTAGAGGCTCTGAAGACAGGGTAAAAATAATTGTTGCAATGGCACCACTGAAGTGGAATGTAGCTCATGCTCCCAAGTTTCACAAAGAAAACTTGTGTGTTTGGGAGGAGTGAGGAAGGTGGTACTTGGAGCATGACCCTTAGAATTTTGAGAGGATGTAAAATCCCAGTAGCAGCAAATTCAGATATTTGACATGTTCTGCAAGTTGTTTGTGCCGGTGAGGGTCACAGCCGCAGATGAACCTGGGACTTCAGGAGGGTCTCGGCAGAGCCAGGCGGCACTCCTCCTTTGGGGCTCCTGGGCCTGCACTAGCTCAGCCTTGCCCTGGGGATGCTGAGATGTAAAAATACACCCAGCACTTCTTCCTAAGCCCTCTCCCCTCCTCTGCACAGGGTGGCATGAGATGGACGCGCAGAACCCCTTGTTTCAGCCCAGCGCATGCATGAATAAGATGGTAGCAGAGAACAAGCTCGGCAAGAAGACTGGAGAAGGATTTTACAAATACAAGTAACAAGTGCAGGTTCTGTGGCTCTGAGAAGAACTCCGTAAGCTGGTACCAGCAGTTGCCCCGAGTGCCTGCGGGGATGCTCTTGGGTCAGACTTCCTCTTACCCAGCACAGTCTGTTAGATGTGCCTTTTGGTTATAATCTGTCTGACATGATTATTTACATATAGCAGAGTCCTCCACTGAAAATGAAAGCCCTTTTTTCAGTCTGTTCATTTCTTTGTGTTTTCGAAAAAGCTTTACACCCTTGGTGCCTTGGAGCAAACATTTTTTTTGAACCTCATCATTTTCATAACTCCTTGCCTGAACACATTCACCTGTGGAGGGGAACGCGCGTCCTCGGAGAGCGGGCCAGGTGCGTCACCGCCGCAGCGGCGTGGCTGTCGACGGGCCGTGGTGTGTCTGCAGTGTGGTCGGGAGGGGCACTGCATTGTGCCTTCCTGAGAACGTTGGCTGCCTGCAGCTTCAAGCCTTCCCATACATTCTGGGCTCGACCTAAGTATCCCGTCTCTACTCACGTCGTCAGGATGCGCTGCTGAATTGTCAGGAGCGCCTCCATGTGCTTGGACCGCGGGAAGAGGGCTCCTCCACATCTGCAATCAGAATAATTATGGTCTGTCTCTTTTTTTTTTTCCATGAGAAATATTACCGCAAACTGCCTATAAATTGACTCCAATAAATATATTCTTTTAATCTGTGAAATTTTGAAATGAAATAAACATGTATAATTTAAAGTAATGTACTTGAATAGTTATAAAAGTAAAGCTCGGTAATTTAGGCGAGACCCTGCCCCGTCGTCTTCAGCGCGCGGCGGCTGTTGGAAGCGGCCGTGGTGCGGAGGCGGCGCGGGGCTGCCTGCGCGGCCCTGGCCGCGGGCGTCGCTCCGGGGTTTTGCCGAGAGAAATAATGTGAGCGTGAACTACTTTCATTTCTTAAAGTTTTAAAAAGATTTTTATTTTCACTTATCGTTTGCGTTTAATACTATTTTGTGTTAGTTTGAAGTGCCCAGCAGAGTGGTTAGACAGCCACATACTTCAGTGTCCCCCGCTCTCTCCGGCCCCGCCTGGCACCACACACAGTTACGGCAGTGGCATCCCCTGTGCTGTACTTTACATCCCCGTGCCAAGATAAGCTGTTCATTTTTAAATCCTTTTTATTTAAAAAAAAATTTTTTTTTTGTATTCTTTTCCACTGCCATTTAGTCCTCACATGCCCCCTCCCCATGCGGTCAGCACAGTGTCGTCTGCGGCCGCGAGTCCTCTTCCTTCTCCGTAGCTTCTCTGAATCGTTGGCTCGTGGACGCGTCTCCCAAGGTAGAATCTGGAAGCTAGAGAGACGTCAGCAACCCTGCGATCCAGTGACCTCATAACAAAGCCTCTAAGTTCATGTGCCCAAGGTCACCAGAAGTTCGGTCACAGAGCCAGCATTAGAACTGGGCTTTGATGGTCAAATTGAATACAAAATAGCAAAGTTGAGTATTTCAAATCCAGACTTTCAAACAGGAGTGTCCCCAAAACGGGCGTCCTTGTTTGGTGTCCCGGGTCATAAGCCTAACGGTTAAGAAATTCCTCCCACCCCCCAACAGAAGGGAGCTTATTAATCTTTTTTTCTCGAGTCTAGCTATAGCATAATAGGAAGATAAAAACGTACATTTCTACCACACACAGAAATTGGTGAGGAAACTTGTAGGTTATTCTTATAAAACATTTCCTAACGAAGAAAAGGAAGCACCTGTGATGCCACTGCCGTTTCCGTGACTCAAGGTCACCCTTGTGGTCCTGCCGCCCACTCACTCTGGGGCTGGCTCTCGACCTTTGACGTGTGTTCTGGCCTTAGAAGGAGTTTCATTTCCTTCGCACTGACCGGACTGCCCACAGGATGTGGGCCCTTGTCCTGAAAATGGCAGGGCTCTTTCTTGACCTGTGACCTCCAAGGGAGAGAGGGAACTCAGCAGTGTGAGCACCGGCCTGCGGCCGTGGGGGTTGGGGCCACAGCAGTCTTTCTCTGGCTACGATTCGTAAATGCACTTCCAGCCTACCAGCGAGTCAAAACCTTGGCCTCTGAATATTCTTTTATCATTTTCAAAAAATCTTTCCATGCCTCTTGTTTGTGAAGGGGAAGGCATCTTGAACATCCTCACAAATGCCTTAGTTGAGAGTGGCGTCCTCAGTAACTCCCAGGGTTTAGGTCAAAAGGATACTACCCACCCCCCTTCCCTTTACTCCCTTCTTAGTGATTATATTCCTATTGTAGAAATGAAAATTTGAGATTCAAAGGAAAACCACACAATTGATGAAATGGTTTGTTAAAAAAGATTGAATGAGCCTCAGCATAGCTATCATCTAGACCTCAGTTATGCTTAGCAAGGTGGTATTCTCTGAGAATAGTTTTTAAAGTGTATCTGATTGATTATGCTATTATAGTTGTCCCATTTCATTGTCTCCTCCTCTGCCCCGCACCCCACTCCCTCCAGCATTCTCCCCCTCTAAGTTCATGTCCACGGGCTGTACATACAAGTTCTTTGGCTTCTCCATTTCCTATACTTTTCTTAACCTCCCCCTATTTTGTGCCTACCTATTATGCTTCTTATTCCCTGTACCTTTTCCTCCATTCTCCCTCCACCCCTTCCTGCTTTTAACCCTCTGTGTGATCCCATTTCTCTGTCCGATTCTGTTCCTATTCTAGTTGTTTGCTTTGTGGGTTTTTTTTTTTAGGTTCAGTTGATAGTTCTGATTTTTTTATCATTTTACTGTTCATAGTTTTGATCTTAGCCAAGTCCCTTCAACATTTCATAGAATAAGAGCTTGGTGATGATGAACTCCTGATCTGAGAAGCAGTTTATCTGCCCTTCCATTCTAAATGAAAGCTTTGCTGGATAGAGTAATCTTGGATGTAGGTCCTTGCCTTTCATGACTTTGAATACTTCTTTGGAGCCTCCTATTGCCTGCAAAGTTTCTTTTGAGAAATCAGCTTATAGTCTTATAGGAACTCCTTTGGAGGTAACTGTCTCCTTTTTTCTTGTTGCTTTTCAGATTCTCTCCTTGTCTTTAATCTTGGGTAATTATGATGTGCCTTAGTATGTGCTCCCTTGGGTCCAATTTCTTTGCCACTCTGAGCTTCCTAGACTTGAATGTCTATTTCCTTCGCCAAATACTGGGGAAGTTCTCCTTCATTATTTTTTCAAATAAGTCTTCAATTTCTTGCTCTTCCTTTTCTCCTTTGGGCACCCCTATGATTCAAATGTTGACAGGTTTAAAGTTGTTCTGGAGGTTCCTAAGCCTCATTATTTTGAAAGCTTGTTTCATCATTCTCTTCTGGTTGAATGTTTATTTATTCCTTCTGGTCCAAACCATTCATCTGAGTCCTGGTTTCCTTCCCTTCACTGTTGGTTCTCTGTATATTTTGCTTTATTTCACTTTGTATGGCCTTCACTTCTTTATTTTGCGGCAAATTCAGTCATTTCTCTGAGCATCTTGATTATCAGTGTTTTGAACTGTGCATCTGATAGGTTGGCTATCTCTTCGTCACTTCATGTGGGGAAATGGTTGGCTAGCTTCTTTTGACATCAGTTGCAAATCGTATTTCTGTTTGGGGGATTGTTAAGTGGCATAGCACGGGGGCAAGGTGGGAGCAGATTTTGGACCTGAGAAACTGGTACAAAATGATTCCTCACTCAGTGTTGTTACATAGATAGAAAACTTTCAACACAGCTGACCTGATTAACAGGTCACCTTTTAGAAGTTCGTTGCAGACTCAACCACAAATTGACAGAGAAGGTAGAACTAATATGTTAGCCATGGCTTATACAACATACTTTCTCCTTTCTCTCTTGGTTTTCCAATTACACTTTTCACACATTTGAAACAAGCTTTTGTCTTGTCCTGTCTTCATTTTAATCCTATTAACATTTCAACCTAAGTAACCAATTAAGTCTACTAAAAATACAAGGTATGACTATAATTTTGTGGGACTAATTTTTTTCTAAACAGGTATCGATGCTACCTAAAGAGTAACAAAAAAATGCTTTGAACAATGGAAGCATTGCTGTTTTCATTTGGTTGTATAAATTCTATTTTTAAAATCAGTCTCAATATTTCATAATCAGTTTTTATTTCTAGGGCAGAACAAATTTTAACTACTGAAAAACAGAAATCCCATAATTGATACCAATTTGCTGTTTTATTTAAAATCACCAAATGTAGCTGTTGCAGAATCAACCAGTCCTGCAACATGGTAAATGATTGGTACCACAGGCTTCAGAACTAATCAGACTTGGGTTCCGGTGTTCACCTCTGCTCCCTTCACCTGTGCAGCCTGGGGCGCTGTCTCCTGGGTCTGTCTGGGAGAATGGGCAGGACGAGGCCCGGATTCCGCAGGGCTGTTGAAGACCAAACGACATGATGGGCGTCATGTGCTGAGCACACTGTGTTACATAATACAGCAACTGTGACAACCTCCTCTTTGCCCAGTTTGGAAGGAAGCCACAGTTCTTCGCAGCGCCTACGGCTTACAGAGAGCCTGAACATCTTACACTGGAGGGGAGAGAGCTGAAGCTGGGAACAGCCCAAGAGTCTCATAAAAAAACGTGTTAGAAGTTAAGCTGTGGGTCCACCTGGGTAGAAGGTAAGTGCTGAAGCTCTACACCCCACCCCCAGCCGCTACGGAAGAGCTTCCCAGACTTCTGGGGAGGTGCTGGCAGGGGAGGGAGGGGAAAGCGTGCAGGAAACCAGTGAGCTGCTGGAGGCGGCTGGTGCTGGAGGAAGTTACATTTTATGTATGGGCGGTAGACTGGGTAATTTAAGACCCCGGGGAAAAAAGCAAATATATAGGAGAGAGGGTCCCAAAGATTCCCTAACATGGTAGTTGTGGACAGAAGAGACGCTGCCCGACCAGAGTGTGGTTTGTCAAGGCAAAGCCACTTCGCGTGGTGGGTGACGACGCAGGCCTCCTCACTGGAGAAGCCGCCATGTGAACGTGGGACCCCAGCCTCGGTGACACACCTCGGCCCTCCTACTTGGATGTTCCACCCCAAAGCTGGAGTCAGTTTTTAGGCAAGCAGGTGTTAGAAGGGAAAACCTCCAGAATGAGAACTCTGGGTCCTGCTTCCTCTTAAACAGCTGTCCACTCCACTGGGTTTAGAGGACAGGGAACTGAGAAGCTTCCCAGACCAGTGCTGGGAAGGAGACATGTTTGAACTAAGCAGCTAGCTGTTTGGGGCAGTTTGAAGTACTGAACCCTAAATGCCTCATCCTGGAGCCGTGTGGAGGATTTGGCACACACTCCTGGGAAGGGAGATTACCAGAGCCCGTTAGCCTCCATGTCCAAATTTTGAAAGGGTGGCAGCGGCACCGCAGGCACCGCATCGGTGTGTGGCAGGAGCACCACTGTCCGTTCTTGCCACGTCAGCTCTGTGGGTCGAGTCTGGGGAAGAGATGCCTGCCAGCAGGCTGCCCCCAGGCGGGCAGCTGTTGCTCCACAGCTGTCAGACAGAAGGAGGGAGGGGAGGAGAGCAGAGTGCGCACTGCGGGTAGAGACTCCTCCAGACCCACTGCCCTTTCAGCGCTCGCATGGCATGCTTCACTCACAAGCCTGTGGTCATCGCTAATGGTTTTGTCTTGATTTTTCTGTTATTTCCCCTTTCCTGTTAAGTTTCCTGTGTGCCAGGGGTTTTCTTTGTTAGGAGAGAGAACTCGTTTTTAGGGGCCTTCTACAAAAATCACAGGTATGTCAAATGCGGG